CTCTTCATTTCACGTTTTCACCACGGTTGCGCCGTCAATAGCTGCCCTAGCTGCGCGACCCCCTGCACTGTCGTGCTGTACCCGCTGTGCCTCTCCGACAGATAGTTTCCAGTTGATCTCTTGTTTGGGCTGACACGTGCATGGTAGATCCAACCGGACCGGGACCCCCCACCCCCCCCTCCCCCCCCCGTACATGATTTAGTGACTCGCTCTTCCAGCTCGCTACCTCCCAACCGGTTGTAGAGACACCTTCAAGCATCGACCCACTTTCTGCGACTCGTGGCGGCGACGCGTCTCATCGCCCGCGCGACGCGATTGGCAAACTACGGTCGGGTCGGCGGCAACCGTGTACGGTGCCGCTCCAATTTCCTCGCCGCTCAACCGCTCGCTCGGACGTGGACAAAGCGGCCGCGGGGCGACGGTTGAAGTTGCAGGCGACTTCGAGGGGGCGATTCGGTTGCGCGACCGGCAGCTCCGGCGTGCACTCGCCCGACTTTGTCCTCCGATGACTTTATTCGGTGCATCATCATCATCATCAACATCGTCGTCGTCATCAATGAGCCGTGGTCAAGCCACTGTTGGATGAAGGCCGCCACTTCCCACGATGCCCGCGACGTAACGGTCCGCCTGGCACCACCTGAGCGCGTTCTTGGCCTGGCGACGTCATTGTTCGGCGAAGGTGAACTGGTTTACGCATCGACCGTTCGAAACGTCTCCCGTTTTCAAACTCGTCCGCTCTTAGAGTTTCAGATTATATTCATCGACGAGCCTTTTTACACACATCTATATATACCAGTGTAGCAGAAAGTTACGGTTTTGATTTAGTAGAAATAATATACACCGGCAATGATTAACGTAGCACGAGTTAATATGTAATCTTCTGTTTCACAGATGATTACGGTCTGCAGTAGCTTCACAGCAAGGGGCAATGTTACGATTGTGGTTTTTACCCAATTAAGTAATTTGCATGTACTTTTGAAATTTGGACCGTGACCCCAGAACACAATGGCCTTCGAATGTGTTTTCTTCTTCAAACGACGTCACTGGAATCTTTTGTTATTAGTGTCCACTGAGAGGCAACGTTAACCGGGGGTGGCCTCTGGCCTTGAACCGCAGAAACCTCTGCGACCAGCGGCAAACGCACTACCGCTCGACCAAGTCATCGAAAGCTGATAATACTGCTTCGTATGTAATATTTTTTACGGATTTTGTTTCACATTATGGGATGCGGTGATTCTCGTGGGGGGGGAGGGGCAGGAAGGGGGTTGGGTGGTGGGGGGCGGCTCCAGGAATCGGCAACCTTGCCGGTAAACATGGAACGTCGAGCCAACGTTGGGCCAATGGGCCCAACCGCGTGCCAACGTTGGGCCAACGCTTGGCACGTTTGCTGGCCGAAGAATCTGCATCGAGAGCAGCAAACCGGTCGCAGCAACGGTGTTGCATACTCCTCGGTGACGGCAACCCGCAACCGCCGACACAATCGGCAACTCCGTCAACAGCGACGCAACCTCTCTGTCTTCTTCTTCTTTTCCTCCTCCTCTCCCGTCTCACCAAGCAACAAAGTGATTTCCCCCCCCCCCCTTCTTTCCTCTCTCTCTGGCTCTCGCCCCATTCTCTCTCCGTCACTCTCGCGCAAGTGCTCGCGTAGTCATTGCTAAAAGCCTCGTGGTTCCGCGGCTATGCCTGCCTTTGTCTCGCGATTGAAAGGGAGCGGAGAACACAAATAATACCTCTTTTGCGAGAACACAACCACGCAGTCTACTGGGTGGGGGGGGGGGAGAAGGCCAATTGTAAAGATACACAACAAAGGCACGGCTTGGCGTGTGTGTGCATGTGTGCGCTCGTGTGTGTGTGTGTGGTAGTGAGCAACCAGGCGTGGTGCTGGCCATACCACCCCACACTAATGCACCGTCCCGGCCGTTATAGGTGCTCGCTAACAGCATTTGCCCCAATCGTCTGTGTTGGATGTACGGGAGATCTTTTGTCTTTGTGTTTTGTGGTAGTGGCACAACGTTGGCTCAACGTTCCATGGTTACTGGGGAGGGGGGAAGTGTAAACATCAGCAAGGGAAGACAAAGGTGGCTGGGCTTGGTTCTCACCACCCTACCGCCCACCCTCTTGTGTGCCATGCCGGCCTTCATAGGTGCTCGCTAACAGCACTTGCCCCGACAGCCTGTGTCGGCTACACGGGGGAGCTTTGTATTCTTGTGTGTGGAAGGAGGGAGGGATTGAGCAGAGAGAATCAGGCAGATGCTGTTGTGGGGGATATGGAGAAATAATAATTGGGGGACACGGACAAACGGAGAGAGACGTGATACGTAATGCTAGAGTAAGGCAGAAATAGAGAGGCAACCTGGAGAGATAAAATTAGAGTAACAGAGAGACCCACTGAGATTTAATGGTGGTGAAACAGACAAATCACTGTTTAGCTTCGGTGATCTGGGGAGAGAGGGATTGGAATAAAAACGTATTTGTACATTGAAAGTGACCAGAAGCATTAAATGATCAGGAGAGAAATAATTCAGAGCTCAGCTGAAAGGGACAGTGAGATGTGGAAAACGATGTTGAGAGATGTGTTTCTTGTACAGGTGGGTATGCTGGGTGACGATGAACTTTGACAGCATGAGGCCATAGCTTTGTGTGAAGACAATTCACCATCATCATCATCATTAGCATCATCATCCAGTAGTATATTCATCACGACAGTTGACAACCTCTCGTATTGACACCTACCATTGCGATCTTGCGACACCATGATCTACATCGCTGCCGTACACGAGCCGATCCCAATCGCTGCATCTCCTCCGTTGTGGTTATCCTCTTCTTGTGTCATCCCTCCTTCACCAGTCTCAGCCATTGGCCATCAACTCTTCAAGTACTTTGTCCACTTTATTTTCTCAACACTCATTAGAAGTTCAAAATACATACATACAATATGTACGATGCTGAAATTCACAGGCAGATCTAGAAGAGTTATAAATTGAATAAGGGGGGACATATCAATTTAAAAAAAACAATAGGGCCCTATATTATTGATAACAATAAACATTAAATTACATTAATTAAATTCCACTGGTAAATATCAACAAAATACCAACTCAGTTGCTATAACGTTTGACAATGGTAAGTATACGATGTTGCTGTATTTGAAACAAAAGATTCATGGTACACACCCACGATTAATTGCCTGGCTTGAAGATGAGAGTCCTGTCCAGTCCAGGGTATTGTTGTCTCCACCACCAAAAACAAAATGGCCGCATAGAAAAGTTAGGCCTCCAGTGGAATTCAAATATAACTCTATTGTATTGTACTTCCATAGTACAATAAACCCGTTTTTAGTTTAGAGGTCATTCCCAGTGAAACTGTACGTACTCTTATTCTTGGTTCTTTCGGTAAAGTCACGTGGAAGGGAACCAATAATATGAATCCCTGCAGTCACGAAAGCTTTAAATCAAAATTGTACGTACTCGATTTTGTTTATTGAGTGCAATTGTGAACATCAGCCATATCAGACGTTAGTACACCCAATCGGCGTAATCATTGGTTCACTGCAGCTCAAAGACGCATTTGAAGGCCTGGAGACCAGAATCGATGATTTCGCCGACAATGTGTTCAGGGAGGCAGTTCCGTATCCGGACAGCAGAGTGAAGGAAGCTTCTGTCAAACACCCCATTCAGCAAATACTGTCAATTTCAAGCGTAGTTTATGTTTATTTGTACGCTGTTTCAAAACATCAACCCGGCTACACAAAAACAAAATCCAGACTGTGCAGTACCAATAAGAACGTCATCAGTTTTAAAAACATTGAAATATTTAAAAAAAAGCTTTAAAAAAAAACTTTGGATTCTAACCTGACTCTCATAACCAACCAAAACAACCAACCAAAACACTTTGTTCTTCTACCCATCTCTGTGAAGTGGGCGCTGCTGCCGGTGATTGGCAGAAAACGGAGTGGGGGTGGTAGGTGCAGAACATCAAAGGGCATTCAAATGAGTGGCATGAATAACGGTTAAAAAGACAGGGCCGCTGCGGAATTGAGTGCGGGGTAACCTACATTAAGCAGACAAACAAAACTCTACATTGTCACAACTCCGCCACTATACCAATTGTATTGACTGTCCCCACCCCCCAGCCCTCCGCCATTGATGCATATTTATTTTCATAGACACTTTTTGTTGGGAGGCTTCAATAGCCGCAAAAGTGAAAAGAACGAGCGAGGGGAAAAAGCGCTAGGAAAACGCAGCACAATGCGAGGTTTGTGTGCCGGGATTCTGTTTGTTTTAAAACAAAAACCGTGCACAATAAACGGCTTTTTTACGCAATAGTGGCCATGTTTATTTGGTGGTTCCGGTTTCCTGTCTCTGAGTTCCTTACAGGTAAGGGGTAGGTTCTCTCTGCAAGGGTGTCTGCTGTCCAGTGCCTGATTTGTTTGGGGTTCTTTTTATATATATATAAACAGGTGAGAGAATAGAGTGTTGTTCTTTTTAAATCCGGAGTGTCATCTTTGTTTAAAAGATATAATTCTGAAATATTTACCCATTACAAACCTCAATTAATTCGTCAGCCTTGCAAACTTGAAATGTCCCATCTTAAGGGATTTTCCAGAAGTAATAAATTAATTCAGATCAAAGAAGGAAATTATATTTCAGGAAGTTGCCGGTTTGAGATATTTTGGCATGTTACAGTTTGAGTACTTACTTTTGTGCTTTTGGAAAAAAACTTAACTATTTTTTTATTTTACCAGGTAAGGCCCACTGAGCTGTATAGTTGTTTTTTTCAGAAGCGACCGGGCCACAAATGATAGCTCAACAAAGTGGCTTATCACGTGGAAATTATTGCCGCCAAATACTCTAAACGCGCGTTGATTTTAAATGGAGCCGGGAAAACTGGAGGACCCGCATAAAAGTGCACACAATCACGGGGAGAGAGACACCGCAAACTCCAAACATACAGCAGGCATCAGGGTTGGGATCAAACCCATGACTTCCTGTATACCAGGAGAGGTAGTGAACATCTCACCACAGTGGCGAGCCAGGGTACCCAGAGAAAAATGCAGGCGCACAAATAGGAGCAACTGCAAATCTCCTTGCGCAGTTATCTCGTCACTAACCCACTTGCTGTACTACTACTACGAGTACCTGGTGCAGTATGTAAACACCAGCATCGGGGAGACAAAGGCGGCCGGGCATGAATGCTGATCAAAGCCGCCCCCCTGGTGCGCCATGCTAGCCATCAAAGGTACTACTCGCTAACAGCACTTGCCCCAACAGCCTGTGAAGGCTACCACGGGGGTGGGGAGGGAGATCTTTGTATTTGTGTGTATGACGGTCACTTCAGCCGATTGGAATGTTTTTTTTGATTCACTGTGTTGGGCAGCTGGTGTCCTGGTGGTCAACACGCTCGGTCACCGAGCTAGATTCCACACGGTTTCATGGGTTCAATTCCTGCCACAGTCGCCCTGCAAACCCATCGTCTGCCGGGAATTGTCAGGCCACACTGTCAGCTGTGGAGTAAATTGGGTGCGTGGGACCCTGTTGACGTTCCTCCCAAGGTTAGATCATCGCGTTGCCAGGGTCATGGCTAAAAGTTGAAGCGCTCCCACAAGTGCTGCGCCCCATTTATCTTCCATTGTCGTAACCGAAATCCGGCTATTTCAAATTTAGCACTTGGCTAAAAACCCGCTAACGAGGTGGAGGGGGGGGGGCACAATGGTCCGCACACTCTGCGACGAGCCCGGCGAGTCCCCACTTCGATTCCCGGCCAAGGGTAACATCGGCGCTACGGTTTCCTCCCACAGGTAATAAACCCTCGTTAATTTGCCGATAACACCTCATTGTGTAAAGGACCACAGACCTTGGAGAAATTGTTGGCGCTGACTCGCCGCCACCGCCGGGTTCGTCCCCGGTTCCTCCTCCTGTCGCCTCCAGGTCGTTCTCTCTCCACGAGGGCGAGCCAAACACTCTGTGTCCATGGCGCCTTGCAAGCTGACATTATTTTTGTATTGTTGTTGTAGTATGTTTTTGTGGCCGAGCGATTATCTAAACCGGTCATGCTTCCCCCCCCCCCCTACACACCCACCCATCCTTCTTAAGTAGAAATGACCTAACAATAAAGATGTATAAATATATACAGCCCTGGTAATTCCTTGCTAATGCCACTGCTGTCAAAAGGGCCTCCATTAGAGGGAGATGTAGAGACGCCCTCGAGATGGTATTTGGCCTACTCTTCCACGCTGGCCAGACGTCTTGGGAATAGGTGGGGAGTACCCAGCGCTTTTCTCCACCACACGCAAACCCGCCCATGGACAAAACTATCTGGTGCAGCCATTTATACCACTGGGTGGAGAGAGAGGCAGTGGGGGTGGGAGGATTTAAAGAAACTTTGCCACCTTTGTTTTCAACCGTCACGCCACTGGGAGATAGATTGCAAGTGCTGCGTAAAGTGATCGGTTAATTTAAAATGACGACGACGGTGGGTGGTGGGTGGTGGTGGTGGTAAAGATGAAAGGCAAAAAATATCGTTGGTTAGCTCACAGGGCTGGGCTGTGTCTCGTGTTGTACTGTGCGAGGCAAGACATTGTGCGTCGCACAACCCACGACCCCGCGCCGACCCTAAAGAAATACTTGTCATCGTGCCGCCACGGGTTATTTTTAAGCCGACGATGAAAACTAAAACCGCGCAGGGCAAGGCGATGGCACAGACGCCTTTTCCCGGGGGTCATTACTTTCACTCGTAACGCTATCCCCGAGGCAGCCACCACTCGCTGTCCGTCCCGCGCTCCTCCTCCTCGTGCTCCTCCTCCTCTTCTTCTTCCACCTCTTCCTCCACCTCCTATGGCCACCGATGCCCAGGCTTCGAACGGTCGGCTCCATGCGTTCGCAGCGGTGGCCCAGCCGGTGCTGAATTTAGGGTAAGGGCTTCTGCGGTGCGGCGACGCTACGATGGTGGACGGCAGGGTTTGAGATTCGCGACGGGGTGGTCGTTTACTGGTGGCCGTGCTACTGACGCTTCTGCCACGTTGTCCTTCCCCGGCGCCTCTGATCAGCGCGGTTGGCTATGCACGGTGCGAAAGAAGTTCGTCATGCGTAGAAACGTCGTGATTTGTTTCATTTTATCTCTACCTACGTGACTTTACCGAAAGAACCAAAGAGTATGCGTAGTATTGTATGTACGGTGGCGTTCATGGTTAGCCCGCTGGACTTGCAATCCAGAGGTCACCAGTTCGATTCCATCTCCCGGCACGGTGAGTCTAAATGTGTACAACCACGGTCGATTGGCAGTGTTGAAGAGGAGGCCAAAATATCCACTCGAAGGGGCTCTCTAGCGGGCTCCCTCAAATAGAGGCGCTTCTGCCAGCAGTGGTGTGAGCAGGCTATTGCAGGGCTGCGCCTTTCCCGTCACCTTTTTGGAAGAAAAAAAAGGTTTACTTTGATGAAATATGTATTTTTTTTCCTTCAAAATATTGTTACGCGATTATTGTTGCTCATTTTCTTATTTTTCCATGATTTTCGTAGTCACATAGATTGCTTATGTTGTAACTGATGGCACGTGCCTTACAAGCGTGGCACACTGTAGCGATTGAAAGGGCAGACTGATGTTGAGTGGCCTGCGCTTTGGAGAACATGAAAGTGTCACGGTACGAGACGTACAGCAAAGCGCAAAAAGCAGGACAATCCAATGAACATTTACAACATTACGGGAAACTGATGTCGCGATAATCTTCGTCTCGCGAAATTTTATATCGCATCGTATCGTGAACAAGTTTAATCGCCGCTACCGCGATAATTGCGGGTACGGCGGCGCGTGTCCCTGCAATCCAAACTCTTGATCGGTGGGTCGCGCAGAGCTCAGCGGTCATCTCGACGCCTGGTAAGAGGCAGCACAGCAAGTAGGCTGCTGCCCTATGCATGTTGAATTTTTTTTTTTTAGACCGCTACTATCTGGTGCAAGCGCGCGCGCGTGTGTGTGTGTGTAACGGATGAGTTTTAGATTTTTGGAAATGTCACATTTCGGATGCTTTTAGGGCAATTTTCGGATCTCCTTTTTTCCCCTCTTCGGATTGTCGCATCGACGCGACAATGTAATGCGTCGTTCGCGAGAGTGACGTCGCCCGGCTTTGTAAACGCGACCCTCGCGATTGGTGGGAACAGCACGGAGGCGATGACGTCATGCGTACCCGACCGGTCCGAAACTCAAATTGTTTTAAAGCACAGACCGAGAGCACATCCTCCTAGCGTGTGATTGTGTGTGTGTGTGCGGTCTCTCCCCTTTCATTCCTCACACGTGACTTTAACACCGGCTTGTGTCCCGCGGTCAAATATCTGGAGTGTAACTCTCCAGAAAAAAATAAATGTGAAGAAAAACTGCCGGGGCTTTTTCCTCGGGTACATTTACAAAGGAGTAATAGGCGCGCAATTGCTGCATTGTTATCATTATTAAGTGGGCCAGAGTTTAACCGATGCCATGGCCAATGCCCATTTAATGCACGATGCCCTCTCTATTTATAGGAGGCTTTAGTTGACTGGAGCCAGCATCAGTTACAGCAATAATTCACAACTCTTTGTCAATCCACTGCTGGATGAAGGCCGCCCCCCACCCCCCTCCTACATAGTAACGGTCATGGGCTGGGGGTTTGACCATACTTCACCCCCTAATGCCTGTTCTTGCCAAATAACCGATTATTATTTACCTCGGTTGCTTCATATTCTTGGTTCTTTCGGTAAAGTCACGTAGACAGAAAATAAAATAAAGATGATAAAATTAAAGAAAAATTAAATATGTAAATTATGAATTCAATTAAATAATGGGTTAATAAAAAAAAATCGGTTGCTCCATTTCTGGTTTAAATGTGCCAATTGTAAAGCTAAATCAAAGTTTAAAAAAAATTGCACTTTGGTCGTAATACACTGATTATATGGCTATAATAATAAAAAAATACCTTTAATTTTCAAGCATCGTGTGAGAGCACTGTATTACATTTCAACTGTTATAGTTGATGTGAGTGGGTAAATGAATAAGTGCATGTGAGTATGTGAATGAATGAGTTGAGCGAGTGAGTTTAGTAACCGACAGTAAATACGCTCGGGTGATGCCATAGCTTGATTTATCAAATTAACATTTATTTTATTTTCATCACGGTGCAAACAGCATCGAGTTTCAACAATTATAAAGTTGCGTTTTTTAATGCGCACAAGTATTTCTGGAGCGTCTCAAAATCGAATTCCCCCGACTGCTGCCACTAAAGCCCCCCGCGTGTTAATCTGGCCCTCGTTACAGTGAAGGCCGAGACGGTAATTCAGCTGGTACTGTCGGTGTTCCAGCGGTTATACAGGGACTCCTCTACTTACGGAAACATTCGACTTACGAACTTTCAGAGATACAAACAAGCCGGTCCATATGTTCAGTTGCCTGTTCAGACCGAGACTCGTAAGTTTAACTGCCGTTCAATAGATGCCGGTGGTTGTTCGGTGTCATTACCCAGCATTCCCTGCATTTCTGCCTGGGCCGCCACTATTGTCCGTTGTTGCGTTGTCGCTGTGCGGTTCACTACGATGCTCTCTCTGCTTTTCACGAACATTATCAACCCCAATCATGTCTCAGAAGCGTAAGAGTGGTGACATTGTTGAGGGTGGTAGTAAGAAGAACAAGTGAAATCTACAGGAGATTATACAACTTTCAAAGCCATTCTCCGTGTTTAGTGTACACGCCATACCAGCATGTTTGGTATCGACACGAGTAAAGTTGGACTTGCGAACAAATCGACTTCCGAACAGACCTCTGGAACCTAACTCGTCCCTGTAATCTGTCACAGAGTTCTAGGTGGAGAGACAGATAAATGAACAAGCCCTATTGTCCGCTCGTCTCTTTTGTTGTTTACATTCTCGCCAGCGACACAAATTATTATTATTTTGAGTTTGATTATTTTGGTGTTGATGTAATATTCACGTCGAACTAGGACCCATCATTGTTAAGAGAGGGTATTCGCCTTTAACATACGGCGGTTCGCCAGTTTGATCCTATATCATCGTCATCATCCGCTGTGGTCGATCCACTGCTGGATGAAAGCCTCACCGAGCTGTCACCGCATCTCAAGATCCAGCGACGTAATAATCCACCGAGCGGCACCTGCACACGGCTGCCTTGTTTTTATTTCACCATCGGTATGTCTGCTCGGGTGCGCTTTGGAGTTAATTCCTCCGTTCAGTGCATGGATGGAACAAGCTAAGACCTCCTTTTCACTTGCGCGAGCGACCTGTGCTTGATGCTGTGTCGAGCCAGTGCGAAATTGATCAGGAGGCACAGGGGTTACCTTTCCACTGCGCAAGCCGAGCCGTGCCACTGATGTCACAGGCAATTCTTAACCCCTTCCCATGACGAGACAAGTGCAAGTTCAGAATCAGAATATCACGGCGCGGGACAAACGCAGTTTCAAAGACGATGCGTAAATTATGAGAGCATGTTTGTTTGCATGTTCACCACAAACACGAGTGGTTTATGCGGACTTGATCCCTTGCAAAATGTTTCTATTTGGTGTTTGAACATTTTAACACCTCCTGTTTTAATATAGAATTGAAGCTTTCGTGACTGCATTCGTTACTGCCCGGGTTGTTTGCTCATCCATGTGCTCTCTCTGCGTAGGTTCCCATTGTCTTCAACCCCTCCCCCTCCCTCCACCTCTGCAGCTTATTTAAGTCTCTGTCCGTCATCCCTCCAGTCCTTTTTGTCTCTTGGTGTGGTGTTACTCTGGTTGTTCATCTGTGCTGCCCAATATATCTTTCCTTGGATGTTCTTCCCTATGTATGTATCTCTGCTACCTTGTACCTCGTATTTGTTCACTCTGTCTATGCTGGTTTGTTCAACCCAGAGGGATGAACACGAAATTTAGCAGTCTTCTGAAATTCGTGGTTAACCAGGTCAGTGTCTAACTGTGTTGTTGGCCGACTGGTTTTGCATCACGTTATTTTTCTTAGGTTTGTTCAGTTCTCGTCTCTCATCTTCTTGTTGTTGTATTTGCCTCCGTACAGTTTAACGTTCTCTATGTGCTATGTACGTGATGTCCCCCTATGTGCTCCCTCACTATTTGTTTTACACCTGATGATGATCGCTTGTTTTGCGTTCGAAACGTCGTGATTTATTATTATTTTAATGTAATCTTCTACATACGTGACTTTACCTCCTGTTTTATTGCCAGAAATGGTCAAACCTATTCTTTTTTTCATACTCAGATTTTTTTATGTATACTGGAAGAATCCGATGAGCTGTGAAGCTCTTTTTCACAGATGTCCAGTAGGACAAGTTGCATCGTGGGCGTCCCATTCACCGTTGAATCTCGGAAAGTGCGAGCCATTGATTCAGCGTTGATTTTACTTAGAGAGGCGTAGCGCCGTTATTTTAAAAGGCATTGTACTCGCCGCAGAGGAGCAATGACACGACCGCATGCTACGATAGCTGGTGCCAAAATGTGCTACACGCCCTCACGCATGAGCTTGTGGGAGCCTCGGTACCGATAAAGTTATTTTATTTTAGAAAAAACTGAAGACGTACACGCACGTCAACGGAACGGGAAAGGGTTTTAAGATTCACGTTTTGACGCAGTGGTTGAGGTGTACTGACGTCGTGTGCATTGCACACGTCACTATGCCCTTCCCCTGTCACTTGTAAGGTCATCGTAGCTTGGCTGTGTAAACTGGCAGTGGGAAAAAAACACCCGTGCCATGCTGGACCTGTGCTGATTCAGCTTGCATGTGACAGTGGGAAAGGGGTGTCGAATGAGCCAGTTTCTGCACTGAAATATCGGGTTTACTTAAGCTACACCAAGTGTATAAGGCAAGGAGCATCTGTCACGTATATTGTATGTTGAACTTCTTTTGGACCTTATGTAGCCATCCACACTAATCGGAAATGCGGGGGAAGGGCAACTAAACGTTAAAAGCAGTTCTAGAGAAATCACTCTGCCATCTCGATTTAAAAGTGCATAGCTCCAGTGGCTTTTTAATACTGGAAGGAAGAGCATTCCAGACGGCCGCAGAAGCGCATCTGAACATGCGCGATGCGGTGACCATCTTTGTTCGATGGCTAAACAAAAGCTGCTGCTGCTGCTGCGAGGATGACCGGAGTTCACGTGACGGTTTATGCTCCTTGACGAGATCAGCAAAGCTGTTGTGCTTCATTTGTGGCAAGCACTTTGTGTGCAATGCGCGCGACCTTATAAATGATATTCGTTCTGCAACCGGAAGCCACTGCAGCTCAGCGAGCAGCGGACATACACGGGCGATGATCCTGCAGTACCCGTCACACGCAGCACGCGCCAAAATGTTTTACATTGTGCACCGGTAGACCGCCCCCTGATCGTCACCAGTCCCTGCCTTTGTGCGTCTTCTCTCCGATTGCAGCATGTCTTCAGCCCATGTGACTCCCTTCGGACATGCCCCCAACGGGTCAGCGGAACGAGTGAGAGCCAAGCTCGAAGTGAGTGACATCCCTGTGGCAAAAAGTTTGCACATCCGCGCAAAAAGCGGACTCACAGCTCACTGGATTCCTCGGAATACAAATAAATATTCTGATTCTGTAACGCTTCAGAAGGCGTTCGGTATGCCGACGTGCGCGTAGATTCTTCGAACCGATATCGATTCTTAGTCTAGATGCCTTTACTGTATTTACCATTTATGAGAATGCACCCGGGTCAACGTTAATCGTGAGTAACGATCAATTAGCGTGAAATACCATTTACCACAGACTATCATCAGTGGAAACAAAACCCGTGGATTTATCGAAGCTCTCACAAAACCAGGGTTTTAATAAAACAGCACCATCAAAGGTGTGTAACGGTTAAGAATGAACACGTTTCTTGGCATAGCGCAAGGTTTTCATACGTGCTTGGGAATAGGCGATGACAATGCCGATGGTGATGGTGGGAGTTCCAAAGTGGAGCAGTGTTGCAGACAGAAGCAGAGGGAGAAGCAGTGCCGGATTGAGCTAGTGCGGGGCCTGTAGCATATGTTGTTATAAAGGGGCTCTACATAGAAAAAAAAACACACAAATATTGAAATACAAATTTTACATTGCACAGTAAAGTAATTGCATGTTTGTATTTGCTATGCAGCCAGAAAATACGACAAATGAACCTTATGGCGGTACCCAGGGGTACCATAGTACCCCGGCTCTCGCACAATGTCCGTGATGCAGTCATCTTTAGTCTGTTGATGGTCGGCGATGCGGCAATCGACTCATCTCGACGAGCTGTACACTACCATGCACCACCACCACCACCACTATGGTGCGTACGAGTGTTCAGGGTTTCGGCACGATCGTCCTCGCTACGTTTCGATATCGCGGAGTGTGCCACTGATTTCGGATTGATTGATACCCCCAGTCGCGGAGTTAAGTAACACCCCTGGAAAAAAAATAGTGTCCCAGAAATAAAATATTAAATTGCCTCGACCCATTTTGTATTATTTGGTAGCCCGGGGTACCGCCATAAGGATTACATTGATAACCTTAAACAAGCAATCGCTCATAAAAGTTGAAGACAGTATAGTACTATAGTAATAGAGCAAGTGCAGAATCACTGAACCGGGATTGATAGCTTGAAAGGATTTAGCGCGGGGCCCGTAGCTACATATGTAGCTACTTTTGCTACTAGGATAATCCGGCACTGGGAGAAGCGTTGTGACCTTGCAGTGTTGGTGAGGTGGGGTGAGTGGGGTGAGTTGTTGTGGCCTGCAAGCGTGGTGGTCGAACGGCGGGTGGATGAGACACGGGTGGGGGAATCGATGAGTGAAATTCACGGGAACGGTAACCGTGGCAGTTGCGAAAGAAAAGTGATGAGGAGACGACTGACACACCGCCATTTATTTTTTTGGTACTCGCTTGGCATCAGGATTACCGGTGCAAAGCACTAACCACGAGAGTACAAAACGCGTCTATCCAGGAGAGTCGTAGGTTTTCGGATCGCCGTTAATTTTCCCATCGTTAATTTTCCCTCCTCTCTGCCTAGGCCAAGCTCCGCCCAATTCCTCCGCAGACTCCGCCCACGCCACCCGGCGTGACACGCCCCATAGCGACAGTTGCCATGGAGACGGTGCAACCCGTCGCGGCCATCGCTGAGATCGCTTGTCGATCGTCCAATCTGAAGTCGACGCTGCTGTCCACCGATTTCTGCAACCTGACGAAACAGTGAGTTGCGGCGCGCGTGTCAATCGCGGGAAGCCGTTGCCCTGCAGCAGTTTGGCCTCGACGAACTCTCCTCCCAGCAATTGCAAACGCCAATCACAGCCTTGCAAATTCTTGCTCTTGCCACTGCTGATTGAAGGGTAAACACTACAGGGAGCCCTCTTAAGGCTCTGTGGATGGTATTTGGCCTACTGTTCCACACGAGTCAGATGTCTTGGAAGAGGTGGGAATAGAACAACAACAGCTGCTGTTCGCTTTTAAATGGTGATGACGTGGCCACAGTGCTTGTGCCATGCTAGGTGCACTTTGAGGCCACGTGAAGTGTCGAAGGCCCGCTCGCAGGAGGCTACGGGACAGACCCAGGTGCCGTGGGTTAACTGACCGAGATGACTAAAAGAGGCACTGCTATTGGCCGTGAGCGGGAATCAAATTGAACTCGATTCGATTCCCAAATCGAGTGTGATTCCACTTCCCAAACACAGAGACGTGCGCACACACACGCAGACACAGGCACATACAGAGCAGCGGGGTGAAGAGAAGTTTCACATTTCAGCCAGGACAAAGGCACCCTGACAATCCCATCATCGTATTACTCCTGCGTATGATGCCATGTGGCGATGCGGGTTTCAGTTCCCAATTTTCACGGTGGACACCACTACAGATTGGTTTTCTCTCCGTCGCCTTTTTGAGTCGCTTCGTGTGCCGCCTGACGCGATGCCTGATGCACCCAGCACTTGCAGCGAAACATCGCACATCGTGCAGTTTTATTATGGACAGCGCTGTCAGTCAGACGGCACCATCAAAGGCCAGCCTCTTCACCCTTTCCCGTTTCGAGACGACTACAAGTTGCAGGGTGGGGTGCCCTGTTCACCGCCGAATCTCGAAACGCGGCAAGCGGTTCGGCGTACATTTTAATTCGAGAGGCGTGGCGCTGTTTCTTTTAAAGACATTGTACTCACCGCAGAGAACTGTGCCGACACGACCGCGCTCTACGATGGCTGGCGTCAAACTGTGCCACACACCCTCCTGCATGGCCTTGAAAGGTTATTTTTTTGATGACGTACACAAACGTCATCGGGAACGGGAAAGGGTTAATCTATTGTCCACGGGCTCCAGCAAAGATCGCTGTGTTGGTCCGTTGTCTGTCGAATCCATCGACGATTCGTCTCGTTCACTTTGTCGTTCGGTGCGATGTCCAACGTTTCTCTCTCCCACCATATGCCCGGGAGCTCCTTCTTCGACACGTATCGATCCGCGAAACGACGGACATGGAGCCAAACTTGCCGTGTGGCACAACCGGAAAACGTATCTGGGGAGAGGGGAGCGAGCAACCGCAAAAAAACCGCGGATGGTTCATTCCACAACTGAATAATTCCAGCAGGCACGGCTCGTGAGTGAGAATCTGACCCAGCGGTCGCTTATCCCCGGCCCGTTTGTGTAGCAGCACGACCGATTTGCATAGCCGTTGAACTTTAAATTTAAGCGCTGGCTTCACGGCGCCGTTTAATTGAGCAGAAACGGGGGGACGACAACACCGCCATTTGACCAGCGGTCCCGTTCACCGGCTACGGGATGCTGGAAGTGAACACACAACACGGCGTGAAGGGTGATGAAATAATAATAATAATACGCGGCAGCGGCGTGCAAACTGTAAAGGTTGTTTCACGTTGCCAGGTTCTCAGAAACCAAGTTTGCTTTGCCACCGCAGAATATCTTTGTTTATTTGAATTCTCTCTCTTTTTTTAAATTTCATTGCGGAATTAAAAAGCAAAATTCGAAAGATGTAAGTAAAACGGCAACAAAAATAACAAGGAAATTGTCCGTCTGCATGGATGTTGTGCCTCACCATCGTCATAGCGACAGTCCTAGGGCCCTGTGAGGCAGACAATGGCAGCAGTAAGTAGGGGTAATTGTGAAATGTGAAACTACAAAGATTGGCCTTTGTTTCTTTATTTCATTATTTCCTCTTTGTTACCACTGTTGAGATGCCACTTGCTTTGCGCGAGCTGAGAGCAACACTTTTATTTGTTTTTTTGCTTCTCATTCTCTCTGGGTTTTCGTTTTGTTTTTCAGCCACTTGGCTGTGGCGTTTTTTGTTGTTGTTGTTGCCTTATACAATCCGGGGGGTGGGGGGGGGGCGCAACAGAGGGCATTGTGGGTATTGTTTACGCAGGGATGGGAGATGGATTATTCTTGCTGTTCTTGCTCCCAGATCTCCCTTGCCCTAAGGGATGCAGAATCAGAATTCAAATATTTGTTTATACTGGGCGAAGAATCCGATGAGCTATAAAGCTCTTTTTTCACATATGTCCAGTAGGGGCACGGGGTCAGACCGTTACAACAACATAGAATACAAAACATAATCAAAACTCTGCATTTGTTTCTTTGCCTATGAATACATAGACAAGTCCGTGTTTTAGTCCATCAGCCTATTGGCTGAATGGACCAATATATGTGCTCAGAAGTAGGGCTATCGCCTGAAACGTCGCCTATTATATATTTCTATTATACACGAATGTGTTGATGTTTTATTCGTCGATTGTGCTTGTGCATCACTTCCAAAGCAGCAGGATCGCCAAATAATCTGATGTCATTGTGAGAGGGTCGAGGCTGATGATGCTGACTCAGGCTGGGGCATTAGAGCTACTTCAAAAACATAATATTGTCCTATCACGGCAGATCATATTTGCCCTCGTCGATATGCCTACCTCTCCCCTCACAACTCACTCCGCTCCCCTCCACGCACTCTCCTACCTCTCCCCTCTCATCTCACTCCACTCCCCTCCACACACTCTCCTACCTCTTCCCTCTCATCTCACTCCACTCCCCTCCACGCACTCTCCTACCTCTCCCCTCTCATCTCACTCTACTCCAGCCACCAAGGCTTTGCGTCTGTACCCCAAGTAAATTTTCACTCAGCGGGAGCTCGCTCATTCTCCTCTGCTGCCACAACAGTCTGGAACTCCCTTCCACCCCACCCAACCACCAGTGCTGCCGGCTCCCTGCCCCTGTTCAAGTCCTCCCTCTTCTCCTCTGCTTATATCGGCCTCTCTCTTTCTCTGAATATTGGACGTCACATAAATCCATTTATTGCGTGGTACTATTGCTACAGCATTACCGTATACACCAGAATACAAGGCACTACAGAAAGTAAGACGCATGCCAAACTTGTGCCCGGTGTAGCTAAACTTGCACAAATCTGGCCTCTCGCGTATGCACACCTTCCGGATTATAAGACGCAACCCAAACTTTTGGCTTTTAAATTGCAGTTTGTGGCTTATAATCCGCATAATACGGTAATAGTCTGGACCCTGAGCTCGGCCCTGCGCAGGAGTCTTGATGATAAGCGGTTCTGCACGTGACAGTTATCTCTATCTTAAGATTTCGACTTAAAGCTTTCGTGACTGCAGGAATTCATACTCTTTGGGTCTTTCGGTAAAGCCACGTAGGTAGAATTTTTTTTTAAAATACGGCGTTTCGATCGCAACACAAGCAATCGTCCTCAGGTGAAACAATATTTTGTATTTAATTTTTCACCTGAGGACGATTGCTTGTGTTGCGATCGTAACGTCGTGATTTTTTATTCTTATTTTTCTATCTACGTGACTTTACCGAAAGACCCAGAGAGTATCTTAAGATGTGTTCACCCTCCTGCTGTCACTTAGGAGGAATAATTACTTTGGGGCTAAGTTTGTCTTGAAAGCGATTTTATAAATAAATTACCACGGAGCCTTCCGAGTTTGCGAGCCTTTAAAGCGAAACATTCTTTCGCGCCGAAGATGCGCCGCTCGATTCGTCTGCCGCGTTCCTAAAGTTAGCGGTGGTTACCGTATTTTCCGGATTATAGGACGCTCCGGAAAGTAGGATGCAGCCCAAAATTTGCGCCAGGTTCATAGCGCAGCGCGCCAACCACCGTACCACTGCTCCCCACATATATACAAGGACAAAGACCCCCCCCCCCCCGTATAGCCTTTAACAGGCTGCTGGGGCAAGTGCTGTTACCGAACTCCTGTGAAGGCCGGCATGGCACACGAGGGGGTGGGTGACCAGCACCACGTCTGAGTGCCTTTGGCTGCCCAGTGCTGATGGTTACACATCGCACCGGGTACTCATTTGAGGCCGAGTCAACCTGGGAGATGCCCCGGGACCGGTTCCAGATATTCATCACCCACGCTGACCGTGAGTGGGAATCGAACTCGGGTGCTGGGCTGATAGAGCAGCGCGCGAACCACTCCACGACCGGATACAATAATAATCATTAGCGTCAGCGTGGAGAATATAAATATCAGCATAAATGAGCAGACTTCGGTCCCAACGTTCTTGTGCCCAGTGTCAATAAAGTGAGACGATTCGTGAATCACAGTTGACGTTCTGGGGTTGGGTCACGTGGTTGTGATGATCCGACCGAGTTTGCGTCGTCAAGAACCCTACCACCACCTGACAGTGCGGCAAAACTCTAATTAAATTGTCACAAACGTTGAACGACGGCGCCGATTGTTGTTATTATTATCATTGCTTCGGCTCGCTCACTTAACCCGCGGTGAGCTGAGCCTTGTGCAAAGTCTGGTGAGACGCACCGCTACGCACACACCTACCGGATTCTTAAACCCCCCACCCCCCCACCCACCTACCCCCCACTTTATCTTTAAAGTGGCAAGGAGAGCCGTTGTTTTATATTTCACGCACACACAACGCCCACGAGAGATGTAGCAACTCGCTTCAATTTGTCAATTGCCCCGCGGTTTTCCTTTTGTTTTGAAGGCGCCGCGAACTTCTCGGCCGTGACTGCGTCTCACGTCACCAACTTGTTGCCATTCAAATTACTTTCTTTGTCGTCCTTATTTCCCCTCCCCCCCCTTAATTATCTTTCTTCATTCGTCCTTATTTTCCTTCCATTCCCCCCCCCCCCCCCCCAATGATCTCCCCTCCATTTTGTTTTCCTTCCTCCCCAATAATCTTTTCTTTCGTTCGTATTTTCTCCCCCTCCCCCCCCCCCCCCCCCT